GAGGTCCCTTCCAGTCCTAGAATCTATGAATCTCTCTTATCAGAAAGCTTCTCATGTTTTCTGCAAATTACACAGAATATTTAATCTTTCTGACATGAACTACATCTATAGTAGCTTTTAATTAATTCTGGAAATTGCATTTAACTCTAAGTATTTCATTTTTCTTATGTGTCATGTGCTTTATTCTTTCTTGGCCCAGGACCTCCAATATTGCGCTCTGCTGATGATGGTTTTTTACCCCAAAACCCAGCAGTGTGGTTCAATGTCTTCCAGACACTTTTCAGATTTGTTTAAAATTAGGTGCGTAGATAGTCTTTACACAAATGTTTCTTAAGCATGTAGTGTGTAAATCAAGGATTGCTGTGAAAAATCAGACTACCTGTCCTTAGTAGCAGTAAATTTGCAGTTTGAAGGCTGCAACAAAGTATTAGAGAGAGATCATCTCCATTCTAAATAAAATCAAATTGTGTTTAGCAGCAGCAAGTAATGAAATTTTTAGTTAGTTTGAGTAAACGATAAACTCTGTGGAGACGGGGCAGACTTTGTTAGGTACATATAGTGCTTAGCAAAATGGTGTCAATCTCTGATTGAGGCCTCTAGTGCTGCTACAATATAAATAATAATACGCAGCCTACTTTGGCTTGGCTGAAATGATAAACCGTGGCTTCCCTTTTTGGCAAAGATACCTGACTGTCTTTGAACTACCTGACTGCAGCAGACCTCTGATCAGAGCACTTAAATCCAACACATTATCCTCAGATATGCTCAGTAGTGTGCCTTTTCTCTTATATCAGCCCCTTTCCCCAAAGCATTGCATAGCTGGCTGACAGCAGCGAGGCCCATCCCTCTGCCCAGCATCTCCTCCCCTCCACTCTCACTGGTAGCTCAGTGTTGCTGCTCCTCTCTGTCCCTGCTCTTGAGGCAACTTAGTTCTTTCTGCTCCCCTTTCCCATCCACTCTGTCCTCTGACGATGGTCTATGTTGCTGTGTCTGATGTCATTCTGGCTCTCCTAATGTCCTTGTTTGGTGAACAGGAAGTCTGATGCTTTTACTTGCCCAGATAACAATTCAACTTGTCTAAGGCTACATCTACACTACAGGGGGAGTCGATTTAAGAAACGCAAATTCAGCTACGTGAATAGCGTAGCTGAATTCGACGTATCGCAGCCGACTTACCCCGCTGTGAGGACAGCGGCAAAATCGACCTCTGCGGCTTCCTGTCGACGGCGCTTACTCCACCAGTGGAGGTGGGAGTAAGAGCGTCGATTTGGGGATCGATTGTCGCGTCCCAACGGGACGCGATAAATCGATCCCCGAGAGGTCAATTTCTACCCGCCGATTCAGGCGGGTAGTGTAGACTTAGGCTTCTGGGAGATAGGGTTTTTCCCCTGCCCTGCCACAGGATTTTTTTGTATTTTGTACATTGTAAATAATAAAGTTCTGTAGGCCAGATAAAATTACACATGCATTCCCATTGTCTTCAAATTATCCCCTGAGTGTCACCAGTGCCAACCCTCTTACCTTCAGTGAGTTTGTACTGGGATAACAGATTGGAGCTTCGTGAGCAATCCGGTTGATGCACAAGGTGAAATAGGGTGAGCTGAGGATTCTTTCTTAGACATGTTAGTTCTGCAAACTGGCATAAAAAGCAGCAAAACAATGCGGTTTTGTTACTAAAGTCAGCAGATATGGCTGAATACACCTAGGAACAGATCTGTTGAGTAAGATGTCAGTTTTATGTAGTCTTGCTTTGGAATAAAACTGCATTTTAAAGGATATGATTACAAATATGTTTATATCCGAAGGATGGCATGAATGCTTGCTTGCTTGCATGCTTGTTTATTTATTTATTTGCTGACGGGCTCTATTCTTGTCTAAGAACTGAAGGTTCCTCTCCCACTTTTTCACTTTCACAGCTCTGTTCTTGAGGCCTTATGTTGCTGCCAATGTCCTTTTAGGTAATAGGGCAGCATTAATTGGACATTTGAGTTGCTGAGTAATGGGTAGCACTCCTCCTCAGCGAGGCTAGCACTTATGGTTTCTCCTGAACCAGGGAGTGAGGGAACGGGACTGAAGAATTGAACCCCTTCTTCTGGGTATAGCTCAGAGTACTATTGTTCACCACACCTGCCCGAACCATTTTTTTAAAATTGTACAGTAATATAGACTGTGGCCAAGACAAGAAAAATCCTATGCTGTATTTGTGTTTGTTCTGTCTTGTTTGACAGTTTACCTAAGCAGTGGAGCAACACAGGATTTTGTTCTAAACACATGCCTTTCACACTCCAGTAAAATACAGCCTGGGAAAGCGTATTGTGAGCAGCCTTCTGCATCAGTAATTCTGTGTTCTGGTAATTGAAATAGTATATTCTTACATGGTTTTTAAAGTTTGCCCTATATTATTCATGCAAGTAATAGTGTTTTCTTGCCTTGTTTCTAAGTCTTTTTTCCATCTTTCTCTCTAGATGGTAAAGGCAATCCAGGTTCTACGTATTCATCTGCTTGAGCTAGAAAAGGTTAATGAACTCTGCAAGGATTTCTGTAGTCGTTACATTGCCTGTCTGAAAACTAAAATGAACAGTGAAACTCTACTAAGTGGAGAACCTGGAAGTCCTTATTCACCTGTACCATCGCAGGTACATTTCAAGTTAGTTTAAATTAGCTTTTGCTTAGAAATACCGCAAAATTTATAAATACCTTTTTGCTGCACTTTGTAAGAATTCCACTTATGCACTGCTTACCTTGTTCTTTGTAATTGTGTTTTTATTAAGGTTAGCAACCCTCTTTTGAGGAGCTGAACAGTGGACAAGTTTATTGAAAAGTGTCAACACTTAGAGACATGCCATAATTACTGTTTGCCTGCATTCCTTTTACTTCTTACCTCAGTCCAGCAACTTCAAAATAAAAAACAAGCAAACAAAAAAAAACTTGGGATTTGCTAGAGTTGCTGCCTTGATGAGAACAGATGTTAGGAAAGAGAATGGGCACAAGGAAAAAGTTGTCATAATATGCATTGCATCTCTTTGGCAATGTCTCCTTAGCTTTGACCCAGCTGTCAGGTTTATCTGCCTCACTGAAGTTGAAAGGACGGTTTGGCTCAGTGTGTGTGTGTATATAAACTGAACGTATAAATTGATCCAAACATTTTAGAGTGAACAAAGGTTACATGTTGGTTTTTAGTCATAATATTTTAGAGATGTGTCACGTGTCTGTTCTATCTACCTTGTAATATTAACAGCTGCACATAGTCTTATACACGTGCACTGTATTTGCTAGATTGTTGAAATATCTGATTACAATACCTAATCTATTGTATAAAATAATCTGAGAGGTAATGATTGCTTTATTACTCTTTTTGGTACTCCTACTATTCTTTCCTTGTAGAGTGACCAGGTGTCTGGTTTTCAACCGGAACACCCGGTCGAAAACGAACCCTGGCAGCTCCAGTCAGCACCACTGACCGGGCTGTTAAAAGTCCAGTTGGCGGTGTTGCGGGGCTAAGGCAGGCTAGTCCCTACCCATCCTGGCACTGCGCTGCGCCCCAGAAGCGGCCAGCAGGGTCCGGCTCCTAGGCAGGAGGGCCACAGGGCTCCGTGCGTTTCCCCCGCCCCAAGCACTGGCTCTGCACTCCCATTGGCCTGTTCCCAGCCAATGGGAGCTGGAGGGGTGATGCCTGTGGGTGAGAGCAGTGCGTGGAGGCTCCTGGCCCCCCCACCTAGTAGGTGCCGGACCTGCTGGCCGCTTCTGGGGCGCAGCATGGTGCCAGGGCGGGCAGGCAGGCAGGCAAGAAGCCTGCCTTAGCCTCGCTGAGCCGCTGACCAGGAGTCGCCCGAGGTAAGCCCGAGCCCGAACGCCCTGCCCCAGCCCTGAGTGTCCCCCCCCCCCCAAACATGGAGCCCCCACCTGCATCCCAAACCCCTCATCCCCGGCCCCAACCCAGAGCCTGTACCCCCTCCTGCACCCAGCCCCCTGCCTCAATCTGGAGCCCCCTCCTACACCCCAAACTGCTCATCCCTAGCCCCACCTCAGAGCCCGCATCCCCCGTCCAGAGCCCTCACCTCCCCTGAGCCCTTCATCCCTGCCCCCACCCCAGAGCCCTCACACCCTCCTGCACCCCAACCCCCTGCCTCAACCTGCAGCCCCATCCCACATTCCGAATCCCTCGGTTCCAGCCTGGAGCCCCCTCCTGCACCCCAAACCCCTCGTCCCCAGAGCCCGCACTCCCAGCCGGAGCCCTCACCCCCTCCTGTATCCCAACCCCCTGCCCCAGCCCAGTGAAAGTTAGGGTGGAGGAGAGCAAGCCACCAAGGGAGGGGGAATGTAGTGGGCGGGGATATGGTGTTTGGTTTTGTGCGATTAGAAAGTTGGCAACCCTATTTCCCTGAGTGTGGACAATGTCGTCATACTACCTAGTAGTGCTTTAGTCTAGGGTGCCAATCCTGTAATGACTTACGTGCATGTTTAACTTTATGTACTATGAATATTCCTAATGGTTTAAATTTCAGTTTTAAAACTCACTTTTTGCTTTTGGTACTTTGAAGCATGCCGAGGAAAGTTTGAAATTAGATAGAGATTACTTAAAAACAATTTTTGGTGGCATGGCTACTAGCTGTCAATCCTGCTGACACACATTTGTTTAATTTTTACACGTGTACTTCCTTTGAAGTCAGTGGGACTGTTCACAGGCAAAGTTAAGAATATGTACAAATATTTGCAGGATCAGGGTGTATGAACATAATTTAAATTACACAACTGTATTACACAGTTTAATTAAATTAAAATAATATTAAGGTATCATGTACATATTGCATTTTTAAGTCAGAAAGCTACAGAAGGAATTAAGTTATTTATTAAACCTCCAAATTCACTTGTAATTTTACCTCCTGAGACCAATTGTATCTACTCTTTATCTTCTGTGTCTTTAAAAATTGTTGTTTCACTTCTGGTTTAGTTCTGTATCCAAAATCTTTTTTATCCCCAAATATATTTGGGTATTTCATGTCTGCTTTATGAAATTATTATTTAATGACTAATGTTTTCAAGCTGATCAGTTTGCAGTAATGGTCTTTGAGTGATGGAGTCTTTCTCTTGGAGATGATCCTCTTTTTAAAGCCCCAGATTTGTTGCAACTAGAAATTACATGAGCATACTTAATTTAAAAAAACTAATTATTTTATTTTTCTAGCAAATTCAAAGTGCCATTGCAGGCACACTGAGTCCCCAAGGGATTATGGTGCCTGCATCAGCATTGCAGCAGGGAAATGTAACTATGGCAACAGTAGCAGGTATGACACAGAAAAGAAAAACTGGCATATTGCTTTTTATTTTGCTTTCTTTCACAGTTGTTAAGAAATGTACAAAGATAGGAATATTTTATTATTAATAACTCCTATAATAGTAACTTTCCAAATGTCATACAACCGAGTGTCCCAGTAGTTCTTTTGAATACTGGTTTCATATGTTGTGTGTAAATTAAGTATAGTATATACCAGGGTTCTCAATCTTTTTCTTTGAGCCCCCCAACATGCTATAAAAACTCCATGGCCCGCCTGTGCCAGAACTACTGGTTTTCTGCATATGAACGCCAGGGCTGGCGTTAGAGGGGTAGCGAGCAGGGCACTTGCCTGGGGCCCCATGCCACAGGGGGCCCCGAGAAGTTAAGTTGCTCCAGCTTTGGCTTCAGCCCTGGATGGCAGGACCCCAGGCTTCAGCCGCATGCGGTGGGGCTTTGACTTTGTGCCCCAGGCCCCAGCGAATCTAATGCTGGCCCTGCTTGGGGACCCCCTGAAGCCTGCTCATGGCCCTCCAGGGGGCCCCAGACCCCTGGTTGAGAACCACTGGTATATACTTATGTATATACAACCAAAAAAAGGACATTGCACAGAAATATATCTAAAGGATTTTGTGGGAAGTGGGGGTGAAGGGTGTGATATATTTCTATGCAATGTCCTTTTATAAATGGAAAAATTATTTGATCTATTGTTGAAAAGAACATATGTTTTCTACTGTTTTTCAAAATATTATTAGGCAAAAAATATGTATTATTGAAATGCTGTGCTTTAAAGTCTTTCATCGCATTATGTAGGGTAACAGGAACTGCAAGTCAGTGAAATCCTGACAACATCAAACTGCACCATTGTGTTGGGCTGGCAGTCAAGATGAAATACACTTGAAATGTCTTGTCACTAAGGTCACTATGAGCATCTGATCTGGCATATCTAAAATGGACGGAAATTGAGTCAAACTTGTTATGGTTTTCTATGAATGAAACTTTAATATCCAAGAGTGCATCTTAATGTGTTAGAGAAGTTGTAATAAAATATAGTTAATATCAGTTATCTAAAAAATGCATTTCTGTTTGTCAGCAATAATGTTACTAAATAATTAAATAGAATGTTATTTGTCCCTCTTTAAATTAGACATGGTACAAGAATGATGTTTGTCAGTAAAATAACTCCCATCAAGATATTCACTTAATAGTGATCTTAGTGTTGAAATGCATGTTTTTCAAAAATTCACTTTCATCTACTTTATAATCATAATTTTGTGTTTGTTTTTAAAGGGGGTACAGTGTATCAGCCAGTCACTGTGGTCACTCCACAAGGTCAAGTAGTGACACAAGCACTGTCACCTGGGACAATTAGGATCCAGAATTCACAGGTTTGTTTCATGGTCTTCATGGAATAGTTTCTTGGAGTAAAAAACCTATTTTTTTAAAGTAATGGTAATGTATTCAGTATGATAAAGTGACAGACTGAGCATTACACAAATAAACATTAATTAATATAGAATTAATTACTTTAATCCAGAAAAAAATTTTAAGCATTGCTGCAAAGATCCCCACATTTGTAATATGGCATAGGATCTCAAAGATTTGCAAAAATCTCCCTTGACAGGACAGAGCATCATGACATCAACTATCAATTCCTTTCTTCTTGGTGATAGCAGAGAAGTATTTGTATAGAAGAAAAATAGTTTACTGAGTAAACATTAAGCATTTTTAAACTCTTTCTAACTGAACTAGTATTATAGCAGGATGGATGTACACAAGTATGTTATGATGCCATACTGCTGGTGTCAGAAGTGTCACTTTGCAAGAAGGCTGCCAGCACCAGTAATTTAAAACTTTATTTTTATATATTTCAGAGTTTACACTTGTTAAGAGGTGTTTCTCACTACACAAACTTTCAGAGTACTGTGTTGAACTAAATGGATGACAGCCAAATAGTGTGCATTACATCACACTCAAGAAAGAGAAAGATCAGCCTTCTTTTGCTGAGAAGCCCTTTACAGTTTAGAATAGGACAGTCCAATCAAATCTGCATTATAGGAAAGGAAAATATATGATAGCAGATTGACAGTCTCAAATCAGAACATCAAGATAGTGGTCCATGTATCAGAAAGTGGTAAATCAGATTATCCAGGAATTAAGAAGATCCTAGAGTGGATTAATTTTGTTAAACATTTGAACAGGAAGATTCATCTGCACAATATAAAGTCCATTAATAATTACTGATTTTCTTTCATGAAAGAGTATTTTTAAAATCACTTATTCTTTGTAACAGCACGTACCTGGCCAAATACTGCCCTAAGAGACATATACCTTTGAGTTAATAGGAATTGCATCCATGCCCCTGACTTGTAAAATTCTCACATAAACTGGATTGTTGGGAGGGAAAACTATTGCTTCTTTGAATGGGAAAAGTGTGGCATCCAGTGAGAAAAAATAACCTCAACTTATGCACAAATATGTCCGTTTCCTTTGACTTCTGTTGGAACTCCAAAGTCCATCTGTGGGTTGACATTGACCCTGTCTTCCACTGTAACCCTTGGGCATGAAATAGATCTTCCTAAATTCCTATTTCCAGTGTTCCATAACTTTCTGAGGGAGTGGGGAAGAAATTATCTTGTGGGAGTTGAAAAATGCAATGGTGAGCCTCTGCAGAGAAGCCGATTGCTGTGAATTTAAAAAAATTGGCTGTGTGTGTTGTCAATTCTGAATGTGTTTGGGAGCTAGGAGAAATTTTGTTTTCATATGATAATTTACACTTAGCTCAAGAACAGCCTTTTAAAAATAGAGTCACACTCAGAATATACACAATGCTTGGCGATGAACCAGTGTTCTGTCTTGTTTGAGGAAACTTGGTTTAGAAATAATGAAGTTGTAACACAGCTGTTGGAAATGATATATCATATGTGAGCGCTATGCTATTTCCTACTAGGTTTGGATAAACACTGAAGAGCATCTCTCCAAATGTTCATAGATGCAGATTTTTTCAATGTGGGAACATCTAGATACATCAATTGAGAGTGAAAAAAGGAGACAAAAGAGGGAAAGATTGATAACTTATGAAGGTTTCATACATCTATGTTAAAAATCATTAAGGTCTAGCTTTTACTTGCTATTATGGATCCTACAATAGCCTGAACTCTTCCCCATGTAGGCATTACATTAGGGTATTCCATTAAATGATCCTACAGTATAGAAACAATACAGTACAACTTTTTTTTTCCAGATGTCTTGGGGGTTGTGGGGAGACCTGGCCAGCAGGCTTTGAAATCTGTTTCATGTTCTCTATCCCAAGTGCAGACTTTTCAAATCCTGCTGACTTCGGTTTCAGAGGATTCCAGCTGACTGAGAGGACTGTCTCGTTTCAAGTCTGTATGCTGTGCTCCTTTTAATCATGCAGTGGCCTGCCAGGTTTGGGGGACCAAGAACATTTACGGGTGAAGCCAGTCAGCCCTTTCTAAAACAGCTGGTGCTACTTGGTTATGCTCTGTAGCTGAGGGAACATGGAGAATATAATACAGCCTCAGGGGCTATAACCCAGAGTTGGTAAAACAAAACACTAAATATGTGCCTCTGAAGCTGTAGAAAAGGTACAGCATAAATATAAATCAAGTGCATGCAGCATTGGTTACTGACTGAGTAGAGTTAAAATTTGTGTGGAAACTCTAATTCAGAATCTCCTGATCTTTGTGCATTTAAACTTTAAAACTTAATTTTGCTTTACTGTAGTTTTTAAAAATGTATGTGCACATATAGATAGAGATATATGAGGAAAACCTTATTAATTGGTATTTTAAGCATGTACATTTAAGTAATAGATTCTCCCTGTACAGTGGCTTTGCATACAGTTATATACTTGTTAAAGGAGCTGCTGAATTTCCACTACAATCAGTTAAACTTCGTCATTTATTTTACTCTGTTCTCATGCTCTTTTGAACTTATTGTTGCAATAATCTAAATTCATCAGGCCAAACTCAACTTGAACGTGTATGCATGCAGTTCTCAAGAAACTGCATACATACTTCAAGGACAGAGTTTAGCTGATTTTTCTCTTAAAAGTGGAGCTGGTGATAGCTGTTTATTTTACAAAGTTAGTTGTCATACATATATTCTTTGTATCTGTTTTTATATATATATATATATATATATGGCTTTCTTTTCTTGTGTGCACCTCTCACCAGTTCAGCTTTGTAGTTTCCAGAGGCTGGAGGCGGGGGGGGGGGGGACGTTAAGTAGTGAGAGCTGCTTTTTATACCTGTCATTATTGTCTTCTTAGATGATGATGTGTATTGAGGCACATGCACAGACCTATTGTGCTTTGAGAGTTTTGCTGTATTTTTTTAGGCTGGGGAAGTAAGGGCCGTAGAGTTAAATTCACCTCAGTGCAGAAGACCCGCACAAGGTGTCTTACACTACTTAAGCTCCATGTTAAACCCGTAGGGCCTGATTCTTCACAGCCTTGCATCTTGTGTAGTCACACCTGCGTAAAGTGAGTGTGAAACACTACAAAATAAGCATAGCATGTTACATTCTCTGTGCACCACGCATAAATGGCTACACAAATTGCAAGTCAGTAGAGAATCAGATTCTCAATATGGTGTTTACAGGATAAGGATGATCTTATGCCGGGCCCCCTGCACTGGAATGAATTTTACTGTAAGTGAAAATAAATTGGCACTTGGTAGCTATGATGAGGTGAATACAGTCTCCTGGCAACTACAGCAATTCTTGAAAGAGGTTCTAGAAAATGCTAAAACATCAGAAACCTGATAATATGTAACCCAGAGTATGGATCTCTTTAGGATAATACTGCAAGAGAACTTCCACCACTACCGCTGCAGGTAAATAAAGTACCCTTTTTTTGACACAGATTATAGATCTAATTTATTTCATTGCTTTCACATGATAAAAACAATTTTTGTGCAATATCTTTATTCATTAAAGTAACTTTATAACTTTCTACATTTTTCTTAAATTTGTGCAGCTTCAGTTACAGTTAAACCAAGATCTAAGTATCTTGCATCAAGATGATGGCTCGTCAAAAAATAAGAGAGGGGTTCTTCCAAAGCACGCTACTAATGTGATGAGATCTTGGCTCTTTCAGCACATAGGGGTAAGAATTAAACATCAGCAGTCATAAGTATTCAGAGAAGACTTTCTGAGGAAGATAAAACTTTTTGGCCTTACTTTGTATGCATTAAGGGCCCAATTTAGCTTCCACTGAAGTCTGTTAGAGTTTTTTCCATTGACTCTAATCTGAGCTGGATAAGGCCCTAATTTTGCATATATTTAACATTTGAACTGCAAGATCTTATTAAATTTCCTAGAAGTTGTTGTTGTTTATTTCAGTGGTGCCCAGGATTTAGTGCCAGCTACTCCTCCAATGCATGGCTCACTTTTCATGTATAAATTATATGTGGAGGGGAATTGAATTTTCACCAAACCTTCCAACAACTGCTTTGTGCCATTGGCTCCATGTTATTCTACAGTGTCTTCCCTGTGCACGCATACTTGCGCTGGAAGGGGAAGATAGGTCTCTATTAGTAATAAATACTCCATTAATTTATAGTGCTCTATCTTCTGTTTTAGCTAACTGATGTTACAACTGATGAATTATGCATGAAAATCACACATGCATTTCTTATGTTACATACAGTTTCCTTGTCCTGTTTAATTCGGGTGGAGGGGGGTTGTTATTTAACCACATAAGGCTCATCAGCACTCTCATGTGACATAGCCGTCAGACAGTGTAACTAATCAAATCTTACCACATGCTGTACTGATGAAGGATCACACTGTCTAACAAGGACTCTGGCAGCTGTGAGAAGCATTTTTTTTTTCTGAATTTGACATTGGCAATTAAATGTTGGCATATACACTTTATAAAGATAAAATCAGTTTTTGTTTAGTAAAGTTTTACTTGTTAAGTGTCTGTATCAGTAAAAATTTGTTTTAAAAATTATTTGTTCATGAAACAGGTTGTTTTTTTTTATTCTGGCAATTTTTAATCAATAGTAATGAAGAAAGTTTCATTTTCTTTTAAAGAAAGAAAAAAGCAAAACGTTTACATACATATTTTTTTTTTTTTGTCCTTAGCATCCATATCCAACAGAAGATGAGAAAAAGCAAATTGCAGCCCAGACAAATCTGACACTACTGCAGGTTAACAATTGGTAAGATCCAAAACTTTGGCTTAATGTCCATAATTGGAGTGTGGGTATGGAGGTACACTCTGTGTATGTGAGTGTCTTCCACATGTGTACAATACATAGAAATAAAATTAAGAGTCTAACTTAAACTAAAAAATCATGAACATCTAGAGTTAAAAGAGCAGGAGTACTTGTGGCACCTTAGAGACTAACAAATTTATTAGAGCATAAGCTTTCGTGGACTAAAGCTTATGCTC